GCTGGTGTATATGCTCAGTCAAAGTAAATCCAGATCCTCCATGAGAACCTACTAATTGAATGTGACCTCCATATGTTGAAAAGCCAACTCCTTGCAAACTTCTATGGCACTTTCCCATGCCTTTCCTTTTCCTGTAGACAAATTAATAAAGAGCTCAAGAGATGCACGTGATGCCATCTTGCGTACCAAGGTAGTCTAATATGAGCAAACAAAGAGTTTCTTTCCGAACAAAGTGAGATTGTTGAGGCAAGTCGAGGTCGGTCATCGGCGGTACGAACGAATTGAGGTCCCATTCATACAAGTCCGCATGAAGCTTAAGCGTTAAGGCAGCTTCAACATAGTTTTGGCTTTGTAAATGCATCTGGGTCGAGTATAAGTGTGGTAACCGCCAGAATAGGTATGTACTCACGTTGACCAGCTGATGAACGTATTTGATATAAATTTCATCCCGACCGATTCTACGGATGAAGTTCATTAGACGGAGAGTTGCGATTACTCGGTCATCCTGGTATTCGTCTCCCTCTGGCAGCTCTCGTACGTTCATCAGTAACTCCAAAAATAGGTCCACAGAATCCAAGAAGTCGGAGACGCGTTGTCGTAATTGGTCATCTACATTAGACGATTCGAATAAGAGACGAAGCTGAGAAATAAAGAAGGCTCGAGAAATGTCGTCGCTCTTGGATTCGGACATGAACAGGGTATCCAGCTTGTTGACAAGCTCGGTTTCAATGTCGTTGAAGTGCTCCGAGAGATGATATTCTGAGACGATCATACTGTAAAGGATATTGACAGCATTATTTCGTAGCTGGTCGTGGTGGCTCAGGCACAAGTCTATGACATTGCCGACAAGGGAATTCAATGCGACTTGATAACCCTATACAAGATGAGCATAGAACATGCTATGTTTGTTATACATACCCCATATCGAGTTACAGCGCCGGCATTGTGAGAGACAGACTCGGGCCATCCTAGTGCCTCCCACAGACGAAGAAGTATACCAGCACCTTCTCCTCTGATATCCCCGGCTAAACGCCAAACCGCTCTTCGTTTCTATCATATTAACGGGTTAATTAATTAGAAAGGCAATTTAAATTATGATGCATACCTGAGGACTAAATTCTTCGATCACTAGCTGGTCGCTTGAGAGTAGTTTCAATAGCAAAGCAAAGCCATCTCGCCATAGGTTTGAGTTGAAGTGGTATGCTTCCTTTTGGTCCGGGATGAAATTGTTAACCAAAAGCATTGAAACAGGGTCGATGATCTTGAGTAAAACTCTATGAGCGAGAATATTGACATTAAGCCATGATTTCGGGAAAGCGTCATTGCTTAATATCGATATTCCAACCTTGAAGATTTTAGAGAGTAGATTTGCGAAATTATCTTGACCTTCAATCTCCAAGATGCCCTCTAGGAACCCAATGAGATGTTTACGAGGCGCTGACAAGATGAGCACGAGGAAAACGATGGCCGCTTCGCCTAGACCACAGTTAAAGACCTGGGCCTGTGAAAGCTGGGTACCACCAGCATTAGATTTGGAGGGTGGTAGACTTGAAATTAAGGAAAATGGGTATGATGATGGGAAAACTGTGGGTACTGGGGTTACTAATGTTGCAGGGGATCTCGTTCGCTCTAGAGCTCTTGCATTGACAGGGCTCTGGAATTCCTTGTAAGCATCGAGGAGCCTTTGAAACGTTAAAAGTCAACTTCTCGACTACAATCACTGTCGAAAGAAATCTTACCTTGGCATGAGTGAAAGAACGTATTCAACGTTATCATTCTCCTGTCGTTGCAGTTTACGATCCGCCAGCGTAGCTGGGCTTATAAGGCTCTGCTGCAGCTGAGCCAGCATGACGGCTACAATTGTGATGCAGAGTCTAGTGCTTTCTAGCCATGCAATCCTTGAACTATCCTTGGAGGCCTCTAGGTCGTTTGGCGAAACGTGAGAGTGTTCGTCATACATTCCAAAGTAAGGCTTGATCCAGCTTACAATGGACTCGACGAGTAAAGCACGGGATTGCGCACTCTCAAATAGGAAGCCTTTGACAATTTGGAGATACATGATGAGCTTCCAGATGATTAATTTGCCCTTGGGGTTGGGTACAGCGTTTGAGAAATGGGTTACGACTGTGACTAGTTCGAGAGTCGAGAAGACCTTGGCAAGATCAGGAAGAATTGAGGCAAATCGTTGGATCGCCAGAGTTTGGGTTCCGATAATAGATTCTGGCCGCGTAGTAGACATGAGTTTGTTAACTTCACCTAGATGTGCCATGAGCTCTTTCTTGAACATTTGCTCAAAATGCTCGCTGGTTGCACCACTGCCGACATTGGCTTCCTTGATTCTCTGTAGCTCTCTCGCACGAATGACAAAACGGAACACATAATGCCAGACTTTAAGGGCATTGCGTAAACGACTTGCGGACTCGGTGGCAGTTGGGTCGCCGAGCAGGCGGTTCATAGATTTGACTATCTTTGATGCAGCTGGCGCACAGGTGAAATGTTTGTCTATGTAGACATCCAATACGGGTTGGAAATTGGTAAACCGGCGGTCTTGTACGATCCCTAGTACAGTAACTAGAGCCCCAAATATTAGGTCATCCATATCGCCTTGATCATTCACCTTGGAGATGAGAACCGCGAACAACGAATCAAATATGTCGCGTAAGAATTTGACGATCTCCACTTCGCCAACAAAGGTGAATTTGCTTAGAATGGTACAAAGCTCATTTTTATCTGAGAGCTGTTCCCAATTGAGCAGACCTAGTAACTCGGGATTTTGAGTCACCTTCGTCGAGCACAAGAAAGATCGAATTGTAAGGGTATCAGTGCTGGGGATGGCACTTTTGGCGAGATGAGAGGGGACTAGTATGGACTCCGGTCGCATATTGGGTCCAAGGATAGCTGGTGCACCAAAGTACATGTCTGGGGTGATACTTTGCATCTTATCTACTTTATAGAGTATGAGCGTATGTGGTCCATCTTGGAGGAATGCACGATTTTCGGGGAATAAGGGAAGATACGCGTATGCGAACGGCCGTTCGATAGGGTCAGCCGAGGATCGTGGAAGAGTCTGTGTTCCTTGTGCTCCAGCGCCACTTCTTGCATTCTTTGAATCTCGATGCCGGAAAGTGATAAAAAGGTGAGAGCTTTGCATGAGTTCGATCGGAACCAACAATTTGATCAATTCTCCAAAAGTAGGATTGTTATTCCTATAGAAGACCATGGAATGGAAGACTGTCATGGGCGGTTCTCCACTACCAGAGCTGATCACGTTTTCTAATACCTGCCCGTTTCTGTGTCGAACTTCTACCGAGACTTGGACATTTCTTGAAGCGGAGAGTGCACCAGCGAATGAAGGAACACGACCGATCAACCCCCTCGGTGTCGTATTGCCAGTGTTGGCAGAGGAGAAGAACTCCCCACTCCATAGCTTGATATAAACCTCATTCCTAACATCCCCTGGGAAGACAACATCGGGGAATCCAAGGCGGGATGTGATTGGTGTATCCTGCAGGAGGGATGGATTCTCGCGGATGATTGTGGGCGCATCGCCATGGAACAGTTTGATATTCACTGCCAACATTTCGGCTCTATCACATATTTTGTCAAAAGATATCATTTCTGTTGTATTATGAAAGCATACCTTGGGCTTTTCTCGAATTCTGCGGTATCACTGGCGATGATAGCTTGATGCAGCGTGCTGAATGTAGCCTCTCGGCTTGGAACAAAGATCGGTAATGTGTGCTCTTTAGCAGTTGTCGCCTCTGTTCTATCGACAGACCATTTAGCTAGTTGGGTCAACTCCAACACGGCGCATCCGAATGGCCTTCGGTACGTCTGGTTGGCGTGCTCGACTATTCCTGAGAATGTTACGCCTTGGCCGTTGGGACCTTCGTGCTCTGATAGGGTCCCGAGTACTGCTTCAGAGCCACGGCGCACCGAATTAGAACCAGTAAGACCGCTAGAGCTAGATACACCGCTCATCTTCATGCTTCCATTCCGTACAATACGGCAAACAAGGTAGATGCTCTCCTGAACATCATGGGCACCTAAATCCACAAACAATGTCCTGATTTTACCCAGGCCTTTTGCAGTGGACCCGTCTTGGGATGCACCCGTCAGTTGTGGCCGAGCCAAGGCACCGTGGTGATTCAAAATAACGCAAAATTCTTCGGTGAGGAAGCGGGCATCTGGTTTATGGTAGAGCGAGAAATATAATTCTGCAGTCTCTCCAGGAGAACAAGGAGAAGCAACGAAAGCCTGGAGCTCCAAGAAAACGTGGAAAAACTTGACAGATGCACTCGTATCTTGATGGGCAGCAGTACTTATATCGGAGGTGGCTGATATGGGCTGAGGTAAGTGGGAAGCTGAGCTAGCATGGAATCGTGGCTCTGGAGAAAATGTGCTGGTGAGTGGCGTTGTCCCAATAGTGGCGGCAGTTGCGCGCGGTACTACCGAGTTGGTGATATCACCAAATGCGCTTCCCCTACTTGCTGCTATCATATCTGGCTTGCTGGCGTCTATGTAAGCCAGTCCCACTTGCATTGCGTACATGGGTATTGCTCCGA